ATCTGACGAGGAGTTGATGCCGATTTTGTTCGAGAAAAAGTCAGCGATGACGCCGCGAAGCGAACGAACTCCTGTTTGTTTTGGAGTGGGGTGTCACCAATCCCCCGGGGAGGTGAAAGGTCCACTTTCAAGTTGCAGATGGAAAGGCCAACGCCTCCTTCGCGTTGGAAGACCAAGAGGCGTGCTGGATGGACGGACTAGACATTGAAGAATCAAGTCTAGACTTGTGCAACGGAGGGGTCCTGAGGCCTTCGGAGGGCCGCGCGGCCCAGGCCAATCAACCACACAACTCCCATTTGGATTCCTCTTTTGACTTGAAGGTCACCGCATGTCATGTCCGCATCAAGATGTGGCTGCGGGTCATGGCACCAGGATATCTTGGTAGACCCTACCTGGAAACTTCAAGCTACATGGTGGACCTGGGCTCCAGCTTTTGACCCATCCCCGAATCCCCACGTATATTAACATCTGTGATCAGGGGCCCCTCAAGTTCGCAAACGCATTCGCGTAACACGGAAACTTGTTCAAACATGTTCAAGCAACAAACATGACGGACTCCCCAGTCGCTCCCTTATGTGTTATTGAATTTATTAGAACGTGGACTCCGAAACAGGGTTTCTTGTGGAATCAGTCTTGTGGATTTCAACATGGCCTGGGCTAGGGCCAACATGCGCCAATATGTGCCAATCCAAGTGCTTCGGATATGCATGACTCCCTCGCTCCCCCTGAAAACTGTCTATTTTTCGTCTTAGCTGTTCCTATCTGCGTGGGATTGGTGGGACAAATTCTTAGGATCTGCCAGGCAGCCCACAGCTGTGGTCGCCAGTAGCCCACGAATGGCGCCGGGTGCCGGTATCGGTGCCGGTATCGGTGCCCCGGTGATCGGAACGCTGCACCAATCACGCATGGAGCGAACGCTCTGAACCGACGTTTGATGAGGCGATGAGGCTCATCCAAAAGGAGTGCGCAGAAGTTAAGACGAATCCATAAACCTGCTAACTAAGGATGACGTGCCAAAGGCCAGAAGATTTCAAGATCAACAACCTCCTGCTAGGCTTCCGGCGGCCTGGTTCACACATGCGGGTGCTGTAGGGCGCTGCTTCCTGAGACCGAGTGATGTGCCACTGGATTCAATCAACATAGAGACTCTCCAAGTTGATGCAGAAAAGTAGGCTGAAGACGGGTGAATCTGAACCTGCTGACGGTGGCTGACGCTAGGAACTCAAGAAATTTCAAAAGTGGATGCATGTTTCCACGGCTGGTCTTAGACCATTTGGTTCACACACCTTAGACAATTAGTGTTCGGTCTTTTCTAGGTGCCATCACCAGTCATCTGAGATCTGTGCACTGCCATCATGAGTCATATGAGTCATACCTAGCGCTTCCTGGCTGGGTGTCCCGTCTGGTGACCTTTTTCAGCAGTATAGGGCTGTCCAGCCAGGTCACCCCGAACGGAAGCAGCTGGTACCGCGCCTGTGCGGGGCTCCCTGGGGCGAAGCTTTGCAGCAGCGGTCGCCCGGCCTCACGGTGGTGCTCAGGCCTCGGTGCGGTTCGGGCACGACCGAAGTGAAGGACATCCCTTTTTTTGTTTTTTTCTTGGTGCTTTTTGAGCCAAAAACTCCAATAGTCTTGGACTCTTGGGTCAAGAACAAGGAATATGAGCCACCGACCCCCCCAACCAAAAATGATGATGCAGGGCAATGCAGGGTCTGCGGATGTCCTCTCTGCTGTGGAGCGGGAGGGGGACGGAGACATGTCACCGAGCAGCGATTTCGGGATGTCGCTGGGAAGCCTTAGCGCTATGGATCCACATACCGAACCTGAGAAGGTACGGTGAGGACGGGGACTATTTATGTAGGCGCCAGGAGGGTCCAATTACCTTCGAAGGTATGTGGATCCAAAGGGTAGCAGAATTGGTCTTCAAGTCACTCTTTGATTTCCCAGACATTCCCAGACACGACACATGGGACTACCATATTTGCCGAGAAGTTGGGGTTGTGAAAGGGGGGTCAATGTAAGCATATCATGGAGTGTCTGGGTTTTGGTGACGTTACATGATTTTGTGTCACCTGGCCCGGCACTCATTGCTTCGGGCTTCGTACCTCCTCTCCCCAAACATCCCGCCCTGTCTTCCTTCCCCTCTTCCACGCCGGCTCGCGGCTCGGCAAATATCGCCAACATGAATCCAAATGAAGATGACTCACATGGTAAAGGAAAACATATTAAAAAATACAACGGCCTTCGGCTCTTAACCAAGCACCTGCCTCTCTCTCTCTCTCTGCCCATCTGCTCTCTCTCCCCGGCCCATCTTTGTACGGCGTGTTCATTGTTTAATGATGTTGATACGTTTTGAATTGTTGTGGATCTACTTCGAAACGTTACAATGCAGCCCGTGTTATCAGGTATTTTGTTGCACTTTACTCCTCGACGTCGTCGAATTCGTTGCTCCCTTCCGACTTCTTCTCAGTGCGCCGACGGAAAGACCTCCGGCAGCGCGGGGTAGGGCTGCGAAGCCGTCACCGCGATGGCGGCCACGAAGCACACGAAGACCACGAGGGCCACGCCTACGACGATTTTCGACACGAGGGGTGAGTAGGAAAGCACTGTGAAGTCTCAGGCGGCTTCTGTAGGTGAGCAGGGGTACACATGGGTTCATTTCAATCTGAAAGTGCAGGTGTTGAGTTTGGTATGCGGTGATCTGTAGGATTCTGTGAGTAGGAGTATATATGGATCATTTCAATCTGTTTGCATGGGGTGTACGGTTTCAAAGTCCCAGTTTTGGCCACTCCATGCCAGATTGGTCTGCACATCGGCAGCCACATCGGCAAGTGACCACTGACTGATGACCCTTCCCTCCCTATTAACTCGATCTCAAGGCCAACTGCTTGTGACAATCATTGCAGCTCACAGCTGATCCAAAGGTTTCGTAACTGTGTTCAGTCTTGCCAGCAGTGTTCACACAAGTTTTGCTTGAAAGGATGACCTACCAGCACCTTCCCAAACAGGTCTCCAATGTACTAACCTACACTTCCTCCTTGATCTCCATTGAATACCCCGACATGAAAGTCGAGAAGGTGGCGAAGGTGAACGTCACGATCATCCTTCAACAAGACGAGGGACATTGCAGGACCCTCCTCTCGAAAAAAGGGGGGCAGGAACTCTCCTTTCGACCGGCCTCCCAGCAGTGGCTTGGGCCGCTGCAGCAGAAGCATCGTCTTGGAGGCCTGAACGAAGGGTGTTCAGGTGTGGCCAGGTCTTTCACGTGGACCAGTAGTGGGAAGAAACTTGAAGGAAAAACAAACAGTCAGTGTGAGTTGTAAGAGCAGGATTGGTCGTTACAGCATCCATCGATGTGTGTACTTTAAAATGTAGACGGTTGATGAATAAAACCTTCCCAAAGTTGGATGGTAAAACCTCTCCATGTATGAAGAGTTTGTTCATCATCCAACAAGGCGACGCACCAAATGAAGATTCAAAGAACTGTTGGTCTTTCCGAGAGGGGTGTCTTGTTGGATTGTGTTTTTTTAAATGTGTGTGTGCCCTGTGCCATAAGTCATTGAACTAAACAGTGACACCTGGACCAGGACACTCAAAAAGCAGCCTCTAAAAACCATTCCCTCGCTGGAGCTTTCAAACACCCGAAACTGTCTGGTAAAGAGAATTGGCCCTCAAGCCCAAGAGCAACCGTTTTGGTGCCTAGTTACTAGTTCATGGAGGAAAAAGCACGTCTCGCAACTGTTTCACTCTCCAAAGCCCGCAGCTGCCAAGGCACCAGCAGCTTCCAGTCTGGCTTTAGAGCTGCCGGCTCCAAAACCAGCACCACCCTGGAGACAAAGGAGGCTGTCGGTGAAAGTGACTGGTGTAGAAAGTGGTGACTGGCGCTGGATTGATATTATCGCATGATACCATGAGTCATGTAGTTGCAATGTAAAGACTACATTTTCCTACATTACGTGACGTGACGTAGCATATTGAGCGAAATAAAAATAACATATTTTATATAAAACCAAAAATAACTCATCATTAGAATATTAGAACATGTCACTACCACCGTCACAATCCTGTTGCCACACGGTGTTTTGCCCCAAACGCAGCGAACTAGATGCATTGCACGATGTCAATGCAGGAATGTGACAAGCGGCCTTATCGTGCTACAACAATAAACAGTTCTAGCACACGTGGGTTGATCGAAGGCTTTGTCTCCTCCTCCAATAGCCTTGGCTGTGCAAGTGATCCACCGAACTCCTGGGTAGGGATGCCTCTCTCTCAGTGTCTTTCTACTCTGCCAAGGTCCTATAATAGGTCCTGGAACCACCTGCACTGCGAGCATGGCGCCTCTGTGGACCTTTCGGGGCCTGCCAACGCTGTCCGGTATCGTTGCTCAAACTTCATCTGACTTCTCCCATTAATGAATGCCAATGATCTCCGAAACCAACCTATCCACATTGACATGACTCAACAAAGGGGTCGGGTGCCCTGGACCACCTCTGGGTTCGCTTGGCTCATGCTTCCCACCACGGCCACAGCCACGGGGCGCCGGGCTTGGGATGCAAGCGTCGCAAGCTGGGACGGAAGTGTCTCTCGTGCCTGGCGAGAAAGGGAGTGGCAAATAGATCTGAGTTGAAACCCAGGCAGTTGGACCGATTTAGCTGATGACTGCTTGTTTCGGGAAGGGGCTTTCATGTGGTTTCCCTAAGTCAAGAACTACATGTACAGTAGGGGGCCGGTTAGCTGAAACAATCCCTGTCACTCCCTGCGTTTTCCCCCAAACCGCCGACAGCGGCGATCGTGATGGGCTCGCCTTTTTGGCCGTGCTGCGCCCAGAAGTCTCTCGAATTAGCGGCGACCCCGGGGTGGGAGGAGCTGGTTTTCTGAGGTCTCGGCCATCTTCCGGAACACATCGATCAATGGATGTTCCAGTTTCGAGATCGAGGATCTGCAATGCTACGTCTCTGCTACCATAGTAGATCAGGAGGGCATAACTCAACCCAGTCCACATCAGGGAAGTTCCCAAAGAATCCCAAGCCTGTGGCCTACCCACCAAAAGGTCATCCAGGAGTTTGTCCGAACTACGCTGGCAGTAAGGCCCGCTCAGGTTTGATGCTGTCCGTCAGGGTCTTCAAAGGCTTGCACCTTGGAACGGCATCTGCCAAGATTTGTGGCACACATCCTCATATCCCAAACAATCCATGCCCAAACACTCCATGCATGGCATATTTACATACCTACATTTGGGTGGTTTCAGGGCTCAATGTAGGCAAACAGTGCATACATGGAGTGTCTGGGATGTACATGCCCATGGCCCATGTACATTGCGACACTTAGTTTTTGGGGTTGTTGTGGGTGTCACTGGAGATGCCAACAAGGCTGATTGGGCGGCCCCCCTCATTTTGCCATATCCATCCATATCCATATGCTGTGTCGGTATGGCTTAGCACCCCCACCAGTGTTCCTGGCATGTTGCATTCCACTCATGATCCAGGGTGCTTGGAACTGCAAGCAGCAAGGAGCGAAGCCGTGAGCTCCCATGTCCGTCAAGCAGCCCTAAAAAGGCCCCCAAAGGGGCGCAACGTTCTTTCTGGGTCCAAGACCTTTCTCCCAAACCTCTCTCCCAATAAGTGAACACCCATCTAGATTTCAACTCCAGCTTGCAAGACATGCACTGTTTCATGTTTCCAGAAAAACCTATGCAGACTTCAACCCCTTCGCCACCAACACCCATGTCTGTAAACTTACTTGAACTTGGACAGAACGTGGCATGCAAACTCAACACACAAGTGAAAACCAACTCAACTCAACACTGTCACAAGTCTTTGGTTTATATCCTTGTCTCAACTTCAATGACTCAACTCAAGACTTAAGACCAAAGTATAACTGGTGGTTAAAACCACATGCTCCTAACCTCTGGGGATGTTTTCTGGCTATTCAACCGTCAGTCCTTTGGTGTTCAAGGCCGGCGCTTCGTTCAGAAACCTTCCAAGGCCGGCGCGGGAGCTCCTCCACCATGAGGCTCCGGAGCCTTGGAGGAGCCATACCCAAACACTCCATGTAGGATTTCACCTGCATTGGGCTGGTTTGGGGGGTCAATTGATCGGGATATATATATATATACACAATACTATTTCTATATATTTCTATGATATATATCATAGGTATGTTTCAAACAATACAATCTACAACAAACAAATGTAATAACATCATGTACAATGTAAACAAAATATGATATATATAATCATAAAACATATCAACCACACATATTGCATCATATATACATATCATACTATTGTGACATGCCATTCCTATTTCGTGTTGCGGTCTGCGCTCGAAATCGCTCGATCACACCAGGCAGTTCCACGCGTGCTGGGTGCTGAAGGAACGGAGGAAGTCGGGCCCATGGGGCGCTGTTCTGGGGTGTTTTTGTTGCACTCACTTGGGGAGTCAACAGCACCCTTTTGGAACTCCTGGTGCAGGCCGTGGTAGATCGAACCTGTTAGAACATATAGAACGTGGACTCCCAAACGGCGCTTCTTGCGGAAGCAATCTTGAGGATTTCGGCCTGGGCTAGCCATGGCATGGAAAACACGTCAACATCCCCCATGAAAATCACATGGAGGGGTCAGTCCTGGTCATTCTTTAGTCCAGTCATGGGGGATAAACGAACCATTACAACCGTTGGAGCCTCTCGTTTTACCCCAAAAGGCACGACGTCAGGATTGATGGTGCGCTTTTGTTCTTGAACGGGCCTTATGAAAGGACATAATGACACATAAGGCTGTCAGTCAAAACCTGGAACTCCCAAACCCTTGTAGGTTGACCTCCCAGGTAGTCTGTTCATTGCCGGTGGTCAACCCACATCCCTCGGGTCTTGACTTAGAGCCTCTTTTTTGTGCTCCTCCCCTGATTGCAGCCGTCCAACTCATCCAAGTGTTGCCGTTGAAGGAGCAACTTTCTCAAGTCCTCGACACCGGCGTAAGAAGCACAGCTGAGGACGTTTCGAAGAAGCACAGCGGGTCACATCTGATCTACCTTTTGCAGCAGCAGCCGGAACAACCACAACCTTCCAACATGAGTTCTTTTCAGGTTTACTTGTTGGTTGGGCCGTCTCGGTATTGGCGGTCCTCTTCAACATGCAGCTTGGCGAGCTGTGCTTTCTCTGCTTGCTGTTGTGCTCCATCCAACCTCTGGCGTCAAACAAATCAATGCCAAAATGGGTGTGCTGATGTGGAGTGGTTCAGCAAAGCCTACAAGCACCCATAATTATACCTGGAGTCTCCCCGGGCCTAAAAAAAAGTTAAGGACCTTTTTATGTTGTTGAGGACCTTTTTGCAATATAGTTGCCTGGCCCAAAATAAAGACCTCAGGGAGACTCCATGAGAGATTTCAGTGTGTCACGACCGGTGGCTCAAACATGAAGCCCATGCTTGTGGTCCCCGTGGTGTCGTGGAGGAGGCGCGCCCTCCTCTCTCTCTCACACTCTTCTCTCATGTGCAGTGCAGTGTTTATTGATCATTGTTGTGAAGTGTGCAATTGATCTCCTCTGTCTCTTTCTCTCTCTCTCTCTCTCGTATTGCCTCAGTGCATCTCAGTGCTCAAGTCACGAGATTTGCGTTCTCTCGGTCAATGACCATGAATGCCACGACATTGCAAACGGTGATTTGTGGGGTTGAACCAGACTGTGGCAACCGCACGGTTTGTCTTCTTCTGGCGACTTGTGTGGGAAGGGCCAACGCGTTTTTGAGTGTCCGAGGACCTTTTTAGTCTCCAACCCAAACTGGGTGCGTCCGAGACACGTATTTCCACGACCGAAACGCGTATTTCGGCGACCGAAGCGGATGCGTCCGACCCGTCCGACCCCCGTCCGCGCGTTTTTTATATGTTGCTACTTTTCTTGAGTTTTGGATGGTTGGGTGCCCCGGTCAAGCCTCAAACTTGGATAGATTGAGTTCCCTGTCGGTCTACGAAATGGTCTTCTAATGTGCGGGGTGGATGGTTCAAGGGTATGGCTGATGAATGTATAGTACACTTGCTTGCGTGGAGCATGCATCGGACTCTCAGCGCGTGTCTCTGCTATAGGTTTTGTGGCTGGACGCCCCCATGCTAGCTAGTGGTTGGGTTTGGCAATGGCAAAACGTGTGCGGTCCCTGGCGTCGGTCTTGTGGGATTCAGAGCGTACAGAATCACCAGTGTGGGATTCAGAGAGTACAGAATCGAGGAAACTAAAGCTGATTGGACCATCTGCAGGTTACCATCAACAACCATGATCCATGTATCAGGTACCTTTTCTGACAGGTTGCTCCTTTAAAAAGGTCCTTTTCTAAATATGCCCAAAAAAAAAGTCGGAGGAGACTCCAGGTGTATTGAAAGAATTGGGGGAACTCCCAATCGGTCGCTCCGAGCTCCAGCTCTCTGTTTTGGGGAAGAGCCGGTATAGCATGGAGCACTCCATGACTCTTCACCCAGGCACTCCACGCGGCAGCTTCGCAGCTCGCGCTTCAGGCGCTGGGTCTCGGCCTTCTGTTCCCGCAGGGCGGTGTGGAGATAGACCTGCGAGTACCGAGACTGGAGATCTGGCAGGCTCAGTTTCTGGGGGAATCGCCCAAGTCGCCCATCTGCAGTAGCAGTAGCAGTAGCAGTAGGAGTAGGAGCAGCAGCAGGAGTAGTAGTAGTACATAGTATACGCAAGTCAAAGGCTCCCAGGTCTCTTAAACCTCTCAACCAGCGGGGAGGTTCTGAACGACTCTTCTGCGTCCAAAATAGCATTGGGTAGCCGTTATGGTGCCGTACCCATACAGGGTTATGAAGCCCAAACCAAATTGTTTGTCTCCCATATTGTACCTCTGATAGGCTCTTTACTCTATATTGTCTTGTCTCCCAGCTCCCATCTTGTACCTCTGATTGGTTCTTCAATGTTCTTCACCCTGCACCCTGCACAACCCGCCCGCTGACCCGCCTGCGGCTCCGAACACTTGGCAGCGCGAGATTCCTTGGTGTTGTGGGAGCGATCGACCGCTGGATCCAACGAACTAACTCACTGACTGACCCAGCTGACCCACTGACCATGTGTTTGTGTGTTGAACTCCCTTCCTATCACAGTAGACTTCCGATCCTCCTGGTGAGTTCCCATTTTGTGCATCCAAGTGTCGTTGCAAGGTCTGAGTATAAGCAGAAGCATTTATGTAGATTTGCTTATGGTTCTATTGGAAGACCTCGTCATACTTATCTCCAACTCTGTCCATTTGTTGCATATTGTTACGTGTGGGCCTCAGGCTCGATGAACCTACCCCTCCACTCAAAACCACACACTGGCTCTACAAACCGATGGGCAAAACATGGTACAAGGCTGCAGCGTTGTCTGGCTATGCGTCCAATGTGAAGTGGCCCACACCCCTTGCACCCCCTATGTCCTCCGCATCTCTCGGTGGAGCGTCCAAAGGTCCTAAGATACCCACAAAAAGCTGCCTCCAGCCGGCTTCCAAGGCTCCAATTGAGCAGCTTCGAGATCTTGCTTTAAACCTAGGCAAAGCCAGGTTAGACCATGGTGCTCCAGGACCATGGTCTACGTTCCATGGTTTTGTCGATCATCCTGCAGCCCACAAAGCTGACAACGTGGAGTGTAGCTTTAGCTGGCCTACATGATTATATACACCCCTATGGCTGACCTCGTGATCGAGACTTAAGAAAAAACTCTGATCCTCGAAACTAGCGGCAAAGGGAGGAGAACAAACTCCCATCTACTATGGGCCTCCATGCAAAGCTTTTAAAGGAGGATGACCTGCCTTCCAGTCGACAAACCAAACAAGCACACCTTCCAACACCGGTCTTCGTAAGTTTTGGAGTCCAAGATCGTCAGTGAGGGGAGCCTTTGGAAAACACGTTGGGAGCCAAATGGCAGGCTTTTAGCTTCAGTGGCGGGGCCACCTGTGGCCATGGTCAGTTGGCCTGGTATTATGGTTCTACAGTTCGTCTCACTTGCACTCCCATCACCCTCCGGCAGGGTTGAAGCAGATTTACCTAAATACGTTACTGAACAGTGCATTCTGTGATCCCTCCGCCCTCTCCCCCCCAAAAAATGGGTATAAGGTCTATTTAGTTGAAGCACCCCCTTGTTGAGGAATCACCGAACACATCCCTGCCCGGCAGTCCTGCGCCGGTCCTTGCACCGTTGAAGCTGACAGGACCCCGTCCGACTGCGTCCCGTCTGCTGAGAAGACTCCAGCTTTGGGAGGGCGTGAAACGGGCTCCTGTCGGTTCTTACCAGCACCATCCAAATTGATCAAAACCAGGTTCTACCCCTTCTACTCTACACCAACCAATCAACCAATCAATGGCTTTCCGGTGCAACCGCTCCATCACACTTCATCTGTCACAAACCCCATTGCTCCTAGGCAGCAGCACATGTTGTGGCCCTTTTTAGCGTCAAACTCCTTCAGCACATTCTGTCTTACTTTCCCAGCTGCGTTCCCGGCCTCCCAGCTGCGGAACAACCTTCCTGCACGCCCAGGCACGGCCATTCTCCTTCTCGGCCTCCAACAGCTTCACCTGGGCCTCCCGAGCCTCGCGGTTCTTCTTCTGAAGTTCCTGGCCGAACCAACAGTTCAGTGAGTGCTCTGTCGGAATGGCCCCGGTGGGGACAGATCGGAAAATGGCCGTGCAGGTCAATTCAAGAAGTCAGAGTTTGGCAAAAGAAACAACAACCAGGAGACACATGGAATTGGGTGGTTTTGTTCGTCCCATCCAGTGAGTGGATCATGAGCACCCACTTGAGCACCCCTATCCTCCAATAATAGGAATCCCCTATCTGTGACTCCTGGAAGGATCACGTACTTTGGGTGTGTTCCTTTCAACCTGTAATGACAGATCCCTCCAGAAAATGTGTGAAAAACTAACCATATGGTCTTATAAATAAAATGAACCACCAGTTCCCAGACTAGTGACTAGTGATTAACACCATCCCCATATGAAGAGATTGTTCAATTCAAGTGGAGGGGGTTACTAATAATAAGCCGTCCTACATGATGTATCGTTATGATGTACGCTAAAGCTAGTTCTGATGACACAGCAAAAAATAAAACATGCATAAACAATGCAAACATAATGCAAAACCAATCCCGAAAAAAATGCACAGAAAACGCAAAAACAAGTCACCAAAGGATGCCTTGGAATGCAAAAAAATGCAAAAAAAATGCCAAAAAAAACGCATTTGTCAACTAAACAAATGCAAACACCGCACAAAACATGCAAACAAAATGCACAAAAAAGGCACAAAAAATGCAACACAAATGCACAAAAAATGCAATCAAAAAGCAAAACAAATGCGATCAAAAACGTTCTGGTCTTTGTTTGCATGGTTTTTGCTTTGTATTTGTGCTGTTTTGCGATTTTTTTTTGCATTTTTTGTGCGTTTCCTTGAGAAAACACAAACAAACCATTTAAAAAAATGCACCAAAAACGCACAACAAATGCAAACAAATCGCACATAAAATGCACAAACATCGAAAAAACATCGCACAAAAAAGGTGGTGTGTGAAATTTGGTTGTGCATGTGCGTTTGTTTGGCTTTTTTTTTGTTTTGTTTGCTTTTTTTGAATTGCTTCCTTTTGCATGTTTTTTGCTTTTTGATATGCACTCTTTTTGACCAGCTGCTTTTGTTTTTTTTTTTTTTAATGCATTTCTTTTGCATTTCCTGGTCATCCTTTGTGAGTGTGGTTTTGCCTTTGTTTTTGTTGCTCTTTTTTTTTAAATGAATCCTTGAGATTTCAGAGTTAGGCTGTCAGGTACATCATAAATGTATCGAAAGAGTCGGGTCCTTGCCCCGGTCCTCCCAGTGAGACCTCCGGTTCCCGGTCCTGCGCCAAAAGGAGGCTTTGTTGGATCCGACGTTGGGCACTGGCGGGTGCACTGCCCAGAGTCGTGCCAATGAGAAGGGCTTCCTCAGGTGCCGGAAGTCACTCTCGCCGTCACCGTCGAACCGAGCGGATTGCCGTTGAACCGGTGAACCAAAACTGGGACCAAAAAGGGTGAAGTTGAGTGGAGAAAGCCAATTTAAAAGAGAAATCTTTATAAACGTTAACCGGTGGTCCACTTTTTCTGGATAGGCCAAGGCGGTCAAGCAAACGGCCCTTATTAAACCACACTGCGCGTCCAAAATTGGTGGCCGTACCCTCTCCAAACCCTGGACCCTCCAACGAATTTAGGCGTGCCAGTGCTCTTCTGCAGGTTCCCTGCCGAACATGCCATGGGTCTTGCCAGCTGCAACCCAAGGGTCTTGTGCATCAACATTAGGAGCCTCACAGGTGGTCATGGGCGGTGGTAGGAGCTAAGTCCTTCAACATCAATGTGTGAAGCATCCCTCTGAATGGGTTGGCCAAGGGGAATCTCTCCAGATTCTCCGCAGTTGGCATTGGAACTTTATGGAGCTTTGTGTGATTCTTTTTGGCAACTTGGGAACTTCGTGGTGCAAGCATGTTCAAGCTGACAAGACCACCACCACCACCACCACCATCACCTCCACTGCCAAGGCCAACCACTTCCCAAAGCCAACCCTCAAAATCCTCATAGGTAGGAAACTCCAAAAAGAAGTTCAAGACTCCCAAATCTGTATAGCTCCGCCGGTGGCAGATTCTTTCAGAGTCAAAGACTGCCGCTGTGAAAACCAGCGCGTCCCACAAGTAGCAACCCGATATATAACCCGATCCCACCTCGGCACAGTTCTTGATGGTAGCATCCAAATCCTCAGAGTGAGGTGGAGTGATTGACTTGGTGGTGATCCTCATTGACTGGCAAAACGACAGCCAGCAGCAAGGTACTTCACCAAATGTTGACTTGACCAAAAAAACACAATCTTTTTGACTGCGCAGGAGAACCCACGCATCTGCTCTACATGCCGGGTGCTTTATGGAACATATTTTATTCGGACTAGGGTTTGTTGCATGACACAAGTCCAGTCCCCCTTTTCAAAAGCAGCTCTACCATCCCCTCATGTCTGTCTGGCACATGTCTGTGACCCGTCCAGATTGAGAGTCCTTGGGAGCATAGCGGTCAGATGCGGTCAGCAATGATTGGCATGCAACATCAGTTCTCACGGACCGAGATGGACCAAGGAATCCAGCCATCTCCAGCCATCTCCCCCCGACTCGAGCGCTCACACTTCGCCCACTTAGAACCCTTTGGGACGCCAGACCATCGACGACCTCCCGTCGCTGGCGCATCGACCGGGTCGCATACCGTCGCTACGTCCCGGTCCCTGAGAGAACACACCGCCACCCCACCACATGTAGACTCTTGATTCAACATACATGAAGAGTTCAGAGTGTGTTCAATTCAAATGAGTTTGTTTTTTTAAATGAATCTGTACCTCAAGAGTCGCGTACGGCGTACGCACCGCTGTACCGCCCCACATAGCTCGGTGCCTTCTCCAGGTTCATGTATCCCTTCATTTGCTCCCGCAAGGTCATGAGCTCGGCTCCTCGGACGTCAGTGTGCCGCTGACGGAGCGAAGGCTTCACCGGTTCGGGACTCCACCTGTTCTTGTTTGGGGTGCCATCAATTCCCAAAGAGGGTCGTGCAGGTGATCCTGTTGTCCACAATTCTCCAATGTTCTCCACTTGTCCTGGGTAGGGCAAGGACACTGATCGAAACTTCTTGCAAGGAGGCATGTTTCCTCGTGGTGGTTCTTGAGGGTTCCCAGGGTTCTCTAGCATGGGCTCACTTTCTGCATGGATAGATCACAGTCACAGGCCTCTTTTGAACCAAAAAACATTAGTCCCCGCTCTAGGAACTTTAAGGACTGTGACTCAACAACTTTACAGTCTTTGCTCTGCGCCTTTTGACTATATGCCTTCTCGGCCTATCCGGTGTCCATTGCCGGACGTTTCCAGGCTTCCCCATGTGCCTATCCGGTCGCTAAAACATCAACCCCCCAAAACACATACCACCTGTTCCCCTCTGCTAAGTCATTCAGGATCTCTGCAACTAATCATTCAATGCGCTTTTCCGCTCCACCTCTCCGAACCAACGCGCTTTTGGGGAACACTCTTTCGACTCAAAGGAGTCCGCTCTCACAGCGTCTGGCGCGGACGCCTCCGCCGCCAAGGTTCGCTCGTTGGCACGGCCCTCCTTGTACTGCACCTCGAGAGTGTAGAACTCCTGGCGCCATACAAACGGCCTCTAGGCGAGGCCAACGGGTCAGGCCGTTGAGAGGTCAACTCTTTTGGGGGAGTAAGTGGGCTTTGGAGGTCGGTGACCAAGTATACCAAGTGCTTCCCGTTGCTTCAAACCATGTTCCCTCCGTTTTTCGCTGTAAAAAAACTTCACCGGACACCCAATCCCACCTGTTTGGACTGACCTGGTGTGTCTCCCAATCCCACCCAAACATAAGAAAACACGCTTTCACATGATCCACTTCTGCTGGGTCCGTACTCCCGCCCTGGTCGGGAACCCCATGGCCGTACCTCGATCCCCGTCCTGTCGCAGCACCTCCATCTGCTTCTTCAACTGCCTCGGTCGGTGAAGAAGAGCTGGGCGGTGGAGCTCGGTCCTTTGCTGGTTTTGCCTTTAGTGATTTAGTGTTTGAGCCGAAATCGGGTCAAAATCCCTCAACCGAAAGGACGAGCTGGGCAGCCCCTAAGAGTCTATATGTGCTCAAAGCACGCCTAGAACGGACAGTCTCTCCGAGAGTTGGATTGACCCATCGGCCGCCAGCCATTCCCCACCAAGCATTACCGTTCCAACCGTTTCCCAGCGGGAACCATCGGCAGCAATGCAATGCTGCTATAGTATGTTTGTTGCGTCCACCTGGTTACAAAGCACATCCTAACTCATGTCCATATAAGGATCAGGAATGTAAGGTCAGCAAAAATAGAGTATAAGCAATTAGTTATTTTTGCTGATTCGGCGGTCCATTCCATTGAAAATTAATATGAAGGATTCATTAATTTTCAATGGGTTAGTGGTGCCCCTGGAAATCCATCCCCTTTATATAAGTGATCGATCGGCGGGATGGATTCCTGGTCGCATCTGGGCCCCTTCTTGGATCTGGGGCTGAGAGGGATGAACCGACATGAAAGAGAAGACATGGAGGTGAATGAGAAAGATACGAATAAATCCTAGAGACAGATGGGCCCCTTCTTGGATCTGGGCCCCCCCTGCTTTTGGCCTGGCGGTCCATTCGGTGTACTAGCGAATCCTTCTCTGAGTTCAACCGCTAAAAAGCGTAAGAAGGCCCCGTTGATTGAATGATTTGCGGCGGATCCTCATCTCCTTTCAATTCCGGTGTCTCATCCGGCTGCCAGGTGGCTCATTCTCCGCTTCCAGCTTCTGTCGGCTCTGACTCACCTCCTCCAGCGTGAAGCCCGCACGTTCGATCTCGAAACACTTCAGCTTCAGACTGCCACTGAGTTCCTGCGGACGGCGAATGGGAGACGAAATGGGAGACGCCCAGGTCAGGTGTCAGCTGATTGACTGCTGGCTCCGGTCGTGTGGCTCTGGGGCTGGAAATAAGGCCAAGCAATGGGCCTCCATAGACTCCATGATGCTCCAATGATACCCCCATTGGGGTGATTTTCAGGGGGGCAACGTAGGTAGTTATATCACATATATTCCAGCATGCTACCAGCACTGGCAAAAGCAACCAAGTAAATTCAAAGCGTTCCAAACATACACATCGGCTTCTGCGTGTGCAGCGGCAGAACCCCACCATGTTTTCCGAATGATCCTCCACCGGTGTTCAGTTCGACACCGCTCTTTGGAAAACCTTTCAACGGCAACTCTTTTGCTGTTGAATTGCAGAAATGGATCCTGCTTCGGAAGGAGGAGTGATAAAGGTGACAACCAAACATTCCACCAGTTCATGTTGTCTATAGTGGGGTGCCCCCATTTCTACCGAACAGGTTTTGAACCGCCGTACTTCTAGACCCCAAGTTCGGGGCGAGGAAGCGACTCTCCGCGCTCGCGCGCTCCGTGATCTCGTTCTGCAGCTCGGCACGGATGCGGCTGAAGGAGAGCTGATGCGCTTGATGCGCTTGCTCTTCATTCTCCAGGCCTCAGTGAAGCACACCGAGGCCAAGTCACGTTCACCGACCAAAAGCTGCCGCCACCAGCGGCGGGTTTTTTCCGCGGGGTCAAAGCGCACGCGAACCGAATCGGCGAATATTCGCCGGTGCCTTCGAACGGTTACGCAAATGCGGTTACATGACGGACGAACGAACGAACTGGTTATACTGCATGGTGCATCTTATACACTCAGGGAGAGTCCGTATGATATGCTTCGGTTTCTCGACTCTCACGCGACCAAAACTGCGCTGACTCCCCGCCCTCCTTTTCGGCGGCGTTCCGCGCCGAGCGGCGGCTTTGCACTCCAGAGAGGCGCTCCTCGGCGCTTTGCACACGCTCCTGGCGGATGTTTCAAGCCGCTCCACCGGGTGACCATTCGAACTGCGAGGAGCTCTGCGAGCGGTCGCGAGCCGAAGCGGTCGTTGCACGTCCGTGATCATGCCTGAAGCATGATGGCATTGATGTTCTTATTGACCTTATTGCTCTTGAAAAGAACCCCTCATCGTGTGACCTGCACAAACGTTGTTGAAAACTGCTGGTCATTCGTGAGTACTTGCCTTCCCTTCAAGCTAGTCACTCTGAAGCCCCTCTAACCCGCGTCTTCGGGCAACCAGCACCAACCAACGCATTGCTTCTCAAACATATGTGCAATGGTGCGCATTGAAATAGGGAGGTCTCCCCAAAACACCCTCTTCAAGGGATAACTCTAAACCCATGGGATGTGGGGGGGGTCTCAAAGATGCTTACACACACACACAAACACCGTTACTGTAGAAAAAGGTGCCCCACTCAATCTATGTGCCACACAAAAGGTGTGCTGCAGCGCAGCAAGTCGGGCACCATTGCGTGTGATTGGTGCATGACGATGGTCCCATCAGTCCTGGAGCAATGACACTTCCTTCCTGGGATGCGCTTGTGGCAAGTCTCAACGCAATGTCCGCCAGCAATTCTGCAGTGTCTCATGGTCTGCATTCTTAAATGCATCAATTTTTGTCCCATAACCCAGATCGCGGGTGTCCCATTCAATCTATAGTCGTAGATGTATGTAGTGCAGCTGCATAACAACATATTGCACATTTATATACATAGTTTTTGTTGCGCCCTATGAAATCATGGAAGTGGAAAACGACCTGTTTGTGATTCCGAACATGGTCATCCGAAGTCGGGGCCATGCCATCCACTTCCATAATGATTTGTTTTAAATTGGATTGCATTGCCAGTCTGACCGGGTGACCCGTTTTACGGAACTTCCCTATTCCTTTGGTCCCAAAAACAGCTTCTTGGACTTGGAGGGTTACGGTGTGCTACCGGTTGGGTCCCCGGTTGCGCTGTCAAAGCTCTGATGGAGCGCCGTCATGTTGCTCCGCACGGACTCCAAGTCTGACTGCGCCTGCAAAAAACCCCCGTGAAGGATGCAGGCAACAGGGACCACACCCGTCAAAATATGGCGCTCATGTGATCTAATAATTATATCTATGCCAGTGCGAGGGCTATTCAGGGCTTTCAGGATTATGGAACTTTCAGGCAACTATAGTGACGAAGTACATGATTCTACACAAACCATCCCTCAACACGTAGACCCTGAAGTACATGGTTCAGCGTTTCTTTCGCCCTGGATGTTCAGGCGGCGGGCCTCCGCACGGCCTCGGCAACACCTGTGGAGAGGGGGGGTCCTCCAGCCACCGGTGCGGCCCGGAACACAGCGCCTTCTCTTGGAAGCGGCGGATCTCAGCGTTGATCTGATCACGCACTTCCTGGCGGAACAACGAACGGGGAGGAGTCGTGGAGGTCGTGGAGGAGCTGTGCACCGGACATGGATGCACAAGGGGAGGATGCCTGGAGTGGTGTATGGTCAAATGCTTTGGAGTAGTCTCCTCTCCCTCTCTCACAATGTGACAGGTGATTCAGAAAGAAGAAACATCCGGAGATTTACAGTCAATTGCCGTATAAACGTTGGGTAGAGGATGGGTTTCTCTCTCGCGATTCAAGCAACAATGAACACATCAACAGGAATTGCCTTGGCTTGTTGCAGCTATAGGGTGCCCTCAGTCGTTTTCAAAGCTTACGCCTACGAAGTCCTCATGCTGGTAAGACTCTCATGTTCCCCAGCCTTCCATTCGACATTTGAAAAACCTGTCACATGAATGGTAAACCTATCCTTAGTAAGACCATGGGTTTTTGTTGTTTTAATTAAATACATTTTCATGTTTCAGGCCCAAACTCAGGCTTTTCAATCACTGGTGGGCCAGGAATCCTTTGGGTTTTCTCCCACCACACCCGGGTGGCCCGGCTGACTGCTGAGGAACCCTTGCCTGAGTGCTGTTCACCTGCTCCAGCTCCACCTTCCGGGCCTCGGACTGGAGAGAAACCGTGCCGTGCTTTCAGACTTTCACTGAAGGTGTGTGATAAGTGTGAGTTATTGTGATTTTAGAAATGTGTATAATTTTTTGGGGGAGTGAATGTGTGTTTAATTGTGTTTAGTACATTCCATCATTCCATGTCATAACAATCTTTATAATATATTGGACATCGAAATGTGCCTGAAACCCAACAGCAGAATTCCAAGTGGCCAAGTCCTTCTTCTTTTCCCGAAGGGAGTCCACCTGCAAGCCATTATCGACCCGCGACCTTCTGGTTGTCACGCCAGAAGGGCATAATGTTGGATTGCTTTTCAATTCTGCACTAACCATGCTGGAAGCATTGCAGCCCGGCCATATGTGTGAAAAACAAAAATTAATATATATATATATAATATACTTATATGTCAATGGAGTCAATGGCCCGTCGAACCCCCCAACCTCCCAGTTGCTCCTCCTCAGCCCCTTGCTCCAGTCCGCTGCCAGGCCTTGGCCTGCAGCTCGGCGACCTTCTCGTCGCGCAGGGCCAAGGTTTCTTCCAGCAGCTGGGCGCGGCGGGCATGAGCCTCAGAGTCCTGTAGGAGGAGGCGGTAGTCTTTCTCCACCTTCTCCTGGCGATGTGGCTACACATCGGTGCGTCGTTTTAGTAGGGAGACCCCTCAAAGACCTCCGGGAACATCAAGGGTCCCCCTCGTAAAATACATACCCATTTGCGCGCCAGGCGCCACACGATGCTTGTAGCATGGGCTGATGGATAAACAACTGGAGAGAGTGGGTGGTGGAAATTTGTCTCAGGCTTGGACCTGGAGTCTGAACAATAACCAACACGCATCTCGCCTTGCTTGATGGATTTCCAAGACAGAACCGTGCAAGACTCCCGCAGAACTCCGTCAACGATACGTCCAACTCGGTGTCTGCTGACCCGCAAGGCGCCGGCAAAAAAAGAACAGGGACTCTCCCCCTTTCAAACTCGCTCCGTAATCTCATGTTGGAGCTCTGCTGCCAGCCGCTGATGTGCCAACTGGAGCGTCTGGTGCGCTTGCTCCTCGTGGTTGAGGCCTTGGAAAAACAGGGCGTCCTGACATCCATCATCCGGCGGTTTAGGACAGAACCCTTTGCCTTCATCATTACCCTTCTGGGGTGTGGGGTGGCATGGGACTGCACCAGGAGGAAGAGAGGCTGAATCACCGAAATCACCCAAATTCACCGGAAATCCAATCACCAACTAAATGGTCAAACCATGTTGTCAACATCCTCAGCTTGACCTCCAACTCTGCCATTCCGCTTTTCACTCCCCACATCCAGCATCATCCAACCACATCCCACCAAGGCCACATCCCGTTCGGCCACGTGACGGGACTGCAAGCGCGACGCCCGCTCTTCCGCTTCGGTGAGCCGTTCCTGCGGCCGAAGCGGAGGAAAAGCCGGCTTGGGTGGCTGGGGCACGGGCACCGTGGCCCTCCCACAGTGTTGGGGTTGTTTGATAGGGCTCCAATCGTATGTTCTGAGGCGTTTGGGGTGCCAAGGGGCTCCAAAGAGCTTATCTTCAGTACTTTGGAGGCCTAGAGTTGGTTGGTTGCAGGGGCGAGGTCTTTCAGTTGGAACTCTTCCAGGAGAAGGAAAGCAAAAAGGGAAACGACCACACCACCCCCACCCAGGGGAGGTGAAGGTATGTCAACCACCCAGGGCCGCGCCTGGAGGAGGGCCACTTCTTTTTGGTGCAAGGCAGCCATGTTGCTGCGCACTTGCCGGAGATCGGCATGCGCCTGCAAAACGCACCGTGCCAAAAAGGCACTGACATTCCTGTTGCTGACATTCCTGGACCTCATGAGTGGTGTCTCATATCTTCTTGACCTTGTTGACCTACCATGTGGGGGGTCATTAATCCGGTCTTCGCATTACCACAATGCTATCATGCATAGTTCCAAGTTTGCTGACGATCCTTCTCCAAGGGCAACTGGAATCGAAGGGAACGGGATGAGGTCCACGATTGCATCCACTAGTGTGCAGTCGAATTCAAGTATACACCATGGAAGCCCAACATCTTTCAGCCAGTCGCAGCCAGCATACAGTACCAAGAAACACTCCTAACCCCCCGCTGCCCCAAAAACCTTCCACCTTGCACTCCCTAGGAATCCAAGTACCAGGTACGGTGATGTGTTCGACACTGTTATTTGTCGGTGCCAAAACGTCGGGTCCAGTCGTACCCAACCTGAGGTTCGGTACTTACTTGGATCCCTATAGGGACTATATCGCCTTCCACGTGGAATCGCTCGCCTTCTCCTGAAATCCCCGGATCTCTGAATTGATCTGTTCCCGCACGTCCTCGTTCGATGGCGTGAGGAGTTCGGAGGGAGGAGTTCGGAGCTTGGGGCTTTTTTTGGGCGTCAATAGAGACCAGTAACTTCCAACAGGTGGTTTTTGGACACCCCTGAACTAAACCTCTCAGAGGCTATGTATATGACACCTTCTGGAAGGTCCAGTAAGTTGTGTCACGGATGTGTAGGGTAGTCCATTGGCAACCCTTTTGGATGGTCCTGGTATAGTTGCTTGGTGCGAACGCATCAGCATCTGGTGGAGCTTGCTGCTTCAAACAAGTTTTGTCCACACAGCATCATTGAATCACTACTGTGTCAGTGACTATGATGCATTTCTACATGTTTCTACCATACATCACCTTCATTGTGAAGTGTTTCCGATCACACTTGCAATATCTTGCAATCCATGTAAACCTGGTTCTCTTTCACTCAATGACCTGAAGAGACTATCATACGGCATAAGCTTTGTGGGTGTGGGTCACCACCCAACACCCCAAAGACGTGGCGCGGCGCTCCGAGGAACATGGTAGGCTGACGTATCTGGCAGTTGGGTCTTTTTTGAGTGAAAGCACCACGATCTATAGGTCAAAACCCGGGCAGTCAACCATTCCATGGTGTTTCCTTCTGATTACGTAGTGACTATAGTCTGCAATAGGCCAATGGATGCCAATGGTGTTGCCTTCGTTGACTCTTAGGTCTCTCTGGTGTTCAATGCCCCGTCTAACTCGCAACTCGAAGCAATTGAGACTTGATTCGACCATTTCATGTGACGGAACGGTCTTCAATGGATTGAAACTGAACCTGTTGGATCCCACAACAGGATTGTGGACTCACAAATTGCTGCGACATGGTCACTCTTGATTCATTCCTTCTGCGCACCAAAAATGGTATGCAATGGCTTGGAGAATCCCACATGTTCTTGGAGCACGGTTCCTTTCCATCATCATTCAGTTACCGAAACCTATCATGTCACACGGCATCTGTCCCATCTCGAATCCAAACTTCAAACACCCCAACCCCTCTCAGCCCTCCCCGGAATCCCCAACCCGCCGCAATCCTGTTCGATCTCCACCTTGCGTGCCAGATCCGTCCGCCGCTCCCGCAGCGAGTCCACCTGTGATCGGTCGAGGTTTCTGCTGCAGAAGGTCCTAATCCGTCAAAGGCACCGAAGACTGGCCTAGGGGAACCTCTAGGGAAAAGGATCTAGATCTTGGCTAGCTAAGGCAGCTACACTCTTGAGTCACTTGAGAGCTAATTGTGGACCCTGAGAATGTCAGCTACACTGTACGGCTTTCGGGATCTGATATCAATATGGTGCAGTGCCTTCTGTTGCATGTGGTCTATCGCCTATCTGGGTAGCATGTTGACTGCCTTGGCCTACTATAGCAGTAGCGTACAGCTGTTGTGTTTTCCTTGAATCAACCTCCAAGATTCACCGCCACAAACACATGGTTGTTGCCAACATTCACCTCTGCACGGGCCGCCTTGGCCACAAAAAAGAACCTACGGCGCCATCCACAGTGAAAGTGCAGGTCCTGTGCTAACTTTTGCTACGGTAAATCTATGATAGACTTTCATGATCTTTCGGGTATCTCCTCAGCATTTTCCTCGAAAACCCACCCACCATCCGGATCCAACCAACCAGACCCCAGCCTCTCTCTCTCTCTCCCAATCGGGCCTGTGACTGGAGCTCAGCAATCCTTCGATCCTGGGAGCTCCCGACTCGACCGACCCGCAAGGCCTTTGTACCGAAGAAACACATGTAGGTGATAGATCTCCCAAACATATTCCACATTGGACTGCCATGTCGGACTGCCGCCTCGGGTTGCTTCCTTGAAAGAAATTTAGGTGATACATCCCAGACACGACTATGGATGGGACTGCCATGTCGGACCGCCGCATCAGGCCAGGAGTGGTGGTGGTGCCAGGGGGGTCTGGCTGGATCGGCAGTCCTATGGCAGTCTCATTAGTCATGTCTGGACATTAATCATATGTGTCACATTATGTAATCATTTCTTTGGTGACATGCAGCTCATGACAGTCCCAAGTTGGTCGTGCCTAGTAGGGTCGAATCGAAACTCTAGAGCCACTTGAATGGTCAAGATGCCGAACAAAGAGAACCTGCCAAAAGCGAGCAACAGGTCCCTCAGCGGTGCCGTTGGCACACACGGCTGCACCACGTTTGCAAGCCCCGTTGCGTCGAGCGTCCTTCAGGACCAAGGTCTCTTCCAGCAAATGGAAGCGCCGCCGATCATCACGTGGTGAGGGGGACGGGTCCTGCGCCAAAAAAGAGCGCGCCCTTTGAGGATTTTGGGGAGGGGGCGACTAGGGACGTGTCAGGACTACAGTCTACAGTGCTCGGAGTGTTCCTTGCGAAGAGATTTGGACGAAATGATGTGAAAGCTGGTTCCTGTATCATTGGCTTCCGTTGGGGGGCAATGGGTGTTTATTCAGTTTATTCTGACATCTCCACTGGATGTAGAGTAGAAAGGACAGGGGAACATGTATGGGTTGCAAGTCCCAAAGTGATTCGAACCTTCTCAAAAGAAGAACTTGAAGCGGGCGAGATCTCAAAAATCCGGCCTCTGCCCGTAAAGCAACACCAACCTCACAAAAAAAAGCTATGAAAACAACTAACTAGCCCAGGCAAAGCTCGGCGTACTACCGAATGATCACCCCCTTTGACCTTCGCGATCACGGTAGGCCATGCAAGTCGAACGGACAGGGCATTCGGGGCACCATATCCCAGACACGACTAATTTAATGGGCCTTCCATATATGCCGATCAATTGACCCCCCACCACCCCAACTGATCGGCATATATTGGCAGTCCCAGACTGGTCGTGTCTGGGATATTTCTTTCAAGGAATCTTAACCGACAATTAGACCCAGATCAAGGCAGAGTAGCTGTTCCATGTTGTTCATCCTCCAGAAGTGACACAATCATTAGGTCAAACAAACATGATGAAGCCAAACAGAAATCGGTTCCATGGACGTGCAATGACGTGCATGGCCCAAATCCATCCAAATCCCACCAGAAAACTACAACCTCGGCCTCGGCCGTTCTGTTCCCCTCACCCGCGCTCACCGGTGTTCCCCTCACCCCTCCTGTCGCGGCACGGGCGCAGGCCGAAGGCCTGGCTTGACTTCACGATGCCCCATCCAGGAGATCCCTTTATTATGTCCTTCCCATAGGGTCCAGGTACCTCCTGAGGATGGTCCTGGACCCTTATGGCTTTAATTTAGAAATATGTTTGAATCTGAGACGTTCTCGGCTTCACTTTGCTGTCCAGGAAGACAAACAAACAACCCTCCCCGTGCCAGGGGATTCATCCATAGGGAAACGATGAATCGATATCACCCTAAGCAAAACAAGGTCAGGGTATGTCAGGGTCTCAAATTCCAAAATCAAGGCCGACAATGGCCCTGACTCACCCTGAGAACACAGTGAGGATGAAACGGAGATCGGGATGGTGGCTCAGGCACACAAGCCACGGTCCAGAGAGGCAGAATCACTTGAAAAGCAAGGCATTCACATGCATAAGGCTTGCATAGTTCAGGGTTTTGATATGTCTTGATATGAGGGGAATGGACTGATCTTAATTCATGCTCTGCATATCTGCATGCTCCCTGCTTCCCCTTTTAAGCACACCTGCCCCAAAAATAGAAAAACAAAGCCTCTCTCAGGAACCACCCTCCTGATCAGTTCCACCGATTTCGGATCAGGTCTCCTCCGGCCGTGGACCCGGCCCTTTGACACATCCTCCGGCATCATGAAAGAAGCTCCAGCAAGCTCCAATCGATCATCCAGTCACTTCAGCCACGAGTTCCGTCCACAAGTTCGGTCCGTTTCGCCTAGGGTTGTCCTCCTCCGTCCTGGAAGAAGGTTCGTCCTCCCAGGTACACCTCTTCTGTTCGGTGGGACACGCCTCAGGGTCCCCGCGTTTACCATGAGGGTCTTCGACCGCCCGGCCTTGGACATGTCCGGCAGTGCCCAGTGCAACTCGCCCGGGAAGGGTCGTGACGCCTGCAGCCAGGAGCAGCCAGGAGCATAGCTAATTAGAAGGGGACAAAATGGATTATAAACTGATTTGATGTGATTCATCAAAAGTTCCTGTCAGGTTCTACAATGAAGCTGTCTCTTACTTGCTCTCTGGCAGGAGTGCCAACCCATTTGTATGAGAACAAACCGCCCCAAGCCAGGATCTTTGAATGTCTCTCTTATTAAATGGGAATTCAGCGAGAACAGGCCGGCAACGCTATGGTGATTTAGCCTGCGAAGCTAGGGTTTTTAAGAGGTTCCCGTGGCTTCACAAAGGGCCAAGGGCGGCAAGAATGCCATATTCACCTGCGGCGATTTTTGGGTACAGTATTTCAAAGCCATGCCATGCGAAGCATCCCTCAAAGGACGTCGACTGTGCGGCATGTCTGGAAGATTTATATGTCTACATGGTCTACTCATGTTCATCGCGTCCACTCTGCCTCCGGCCCCAAACAGGCCGATCCTGCTTTCGTTTTCGGCCAAACCTTCGCAAACCTGGAAAAATGGACGTCTTCAGTAATAGCTCTACTTTGGAAGAACCATTAATATGGTCTTCCTCTCCAAACAGGGGTAAATGCAATCTGTTGGCAATGTTTGATTCGTTTGTTTCTCTCCTACCACGGCGTGACCCCTGATCATCTCCTGAATGTTGGAGTCCGCTGTGTGCATTTTCCCATTATGCCCAGCTCCGCATGCGACCCCAATAGCATAAGTTAGAGTAGCTCTGCAGCTCGCCGCCAGTGGTGCCAGTGATTGGCGTCCTCGCGCGCGCGCGCGCGGCGCGTCCGGCCTCGACCTCCACGAGAAGAGCTCGCAAACCCTGAGGCTCGGCCGAAGGCTCGCGCTCGTGGTCAACGAAGCATCTGCACTTGGTAAACCGAACGCTCTTCCAACTGACTCCTGCTACCTCCTGAGACCTGCTGAGACCTCCTTGATGTACACCGCCACTTCCAACTGCCCCCCAGCCCCGCTATACTGTCGTTCGGCACCGCGCCTGGTGGCTCTAGCCGTAGCCGAGCCTCGAGCTCCGCGGCAGAGACCTCGAAGGGCTTCGAGCTGCTGGAGTGGCCACCTGAGCAGCGCAGCGCTGCGCTCCGCCCGGCGAAAATCGGGTGGGACTTGGTGGAACTACGGCGATGGACATCCCAAATACTAACATCAAACAAATCACCCCAGATGGGACCCATGGGACTGCCATATGTGCCGATCAAGCCAGGCCCCCCCGGCACCACCCCTGGCCGTTTCTCGGCAGTCCGACATGGCAGTCCCAGACTGGTCGTGTCTGGGCACATTTCCAGATCCCACCGGCTACGGGAACCTTAGGGCCTTAGGTGTTTCGGCTTCCCGTAGCGGCAGCCCATCGATCAGCCCGTGATGCCGTCGGACAAGACCAGCGTCCGGACGCTACGCTAGCCACTCATCATCCAAATAAGTCACACTCCCTGAAAGTCATGAGCCTGGTTCTTCAAAGTGACCTTTTGATAACCTGGTTTGAGGTCACTTAGGCCTGTAAGAGGTCACTTGGGGACTCCAAAACGGTCACTTTTGAAGAAGCTGGAGGGAATCATTAAGAAATGGAAAAGCATTCAAAAACGACCCGTTGGATGACCGTGTGTGTCTCCACAAAAAACCGGCCGGTGCTTTTCCACAATACATCACAATACCCATGACGAATGACGCCGGCATTGACGTGGTTTGAAGCATGACATTGGTGCCAGGTGGGTGGCCATCCCAAAAAGGAGCAACACATCGAAGAACATCATCGAACCCGAGCGCGTGCTTCTAAACTCACGTGGACCCCGAAAAAAAACTTTCTTTGTAGAAGAAAAACCTCTCCTGAAAGGCCATTCGACCCAGGTCCATGGTGGGTTTGTTGGGGCGTAGCGCTTGCGTTGTCCGTTGTCTCATCTTTGAAACAGTGTCCCCGGAAAACCATCTCGATCCATCTCGCACCCTCAAACAGCCGTTTTGGAGCCACCAAACAGGCTCAGTTGAGTACATTTTAGCTGAATGTAGCTGGTAGCATGCGGCAGAACCCAAAGGCCCAGCGATGCCCAATCGTTCCCCACCTGAGAAGCCCGAGATGGAGCCATCCACATCTACCTCCAGTCGCAGAATATTGCAGATATAAAGCACGGCGGACGATGTCGTTGAAAGAAAAAACAGCTCTCTAATATTCAAAGCTGGTAAGGCCAAAAGCAGCTGTGTAAAACCTTCAGAAAACACTGCACTTCTCGACGCAGGTGTTCCAAGTTCCCAGATTTTCGCAGGTCCGCGGGGCAGGTGTCTTGCAGCGCCAAATCGCTGCCCAGGTCGTTTGCAGGTCGTTTCCGGCGGTGAATTGGGCCCTTCTTCCAGCTCAACGAACCCATCAACCAAACCAACGAACGGAGAAGCCGTCCGACGTCCGTTCTTCCTGGAAGTGTCCCCAACATCAAGTCCCCTTTTTGTCGTCCACGTGAGTGTTCCCACGTGTTTTAAACATTAAAACCTTAGAGTCGACCTTCATAGTCTTTGCGGACTTGTTTCAGATCTCTTTAGCACCAAAACTCATCTACCAGGACCCTCCGACCATCGGGGTGTCCTGGCTGGACTACCCCTACCCCCGCACTACCTAGTTTGGCTTCCAGACATCGCACCCCGATGGTCGGATGGTCCAGGTAAGCATGACTTCCCCGGCTCCGAGGGCACCTCGTCCACGGTGCCACTGGCCTCGCTGAGGGTCTCCAGGTCGGAGGCCATGGGGAGGCAGCTTTGCAACCGGCAACTAAGGGTTAAAGAGTTCAAAGAATTGGAGCTTTAGATGAACCCAGGTGACCTCTGTTTTGATAGCAAAAGATCCGTGTTTGATAGGAACTATGTTCATATGATTCATATCGAAAGTTCATTGGGTCCGTTGGAGGAACAAGTTGTTGCTGTGTGTTTTGTCATCCTCGAGTTGAACGATATGCTTTCAGACCGGGGCTCGAAAATGCTCGAAATAACTAGCGACCGTGGGTGAAGTATCTGTTCAAGAACCTCTTGCCAGCTGTGCTGCCAAATATGACATATTGGCCCAAGCATCGTCCTTTCGAATGCACCTTGCAACAGTTTTATATTATAAGTAATTCAGTAATTCAACCTACAAGAATGGTAGGTTTGGGCATCCTGAGATTTCAGCCGGAAATGCTTGTGCGTCATTCACTCATTCACAGGATCGACCGATCTGTATGTTTGGACCTACCACTGACTCCGACCTACCAGCACTGGGTCGTTCCCAGCCAGTGCTCTGGAGCCAAACGCTGTTTGGGATACCACAAAACTGCACTAACAGTCGAACCACCAGCCTGTGATTAATACTGTTAGTTATTGTGGAGCTTGCCATTAGTTCCAAGTACAGTAGGCCGGGCCTTGTTTGAGCAAGTGGGACAACAAACCAGGTAGCAAGGAACCGCTACCACATAATTAGGCTTGTAACATCTCTCCCTCCCAAGGACAGTCCTTGAATTTCAAGCAAGCTTATATGTCGTAATGATTTTGCCCTAGGGCTCCAAGTACCTCCTCAGAAGGTATTTGGACCCTCTAAACCCACCCCAGTCCCACCTTCTTAGAAGGTACGACTGGAGCCGTAAGGGCACCGATCAGATCTGATCAGTGCATTTTTTGGGTAAAATCGATTATATATTGGAAACTCGTCTTGGAACGTCGCAACCAATGAGGCGGAGCTGCTTGTAGGCGCCAGGAGCTTTGCAGCTCGGTCCTCTTGGTGTTTTTCGGGTTGAAGCAAACTGTATAGGACCCAAAGTGGTCCCCCAAATAAATGACTGTGGCACGGTGTCCAATACATTTTCTACGTGTGAATACAAGAACTTCTATCTAATTTGGGGACCTTTTCTGAGGGTCTAAGAGCTGAGGACAGTCAAGTCTAGACGAGATAGAAGAAAGTACCATCGACAATCAACAAATCCTGCATTTCTCGTCACAACTAGCCTCTTCCTCGATCCAATCGTCAGATAGCTCAAAATATATAATATCAAATACCCTGCTTGGCTTGGAATAACTATCAATCACAACGCAGCGCCCTCAAGCCAGGGTGTTCTCAGCTGTGTGCTCGTTCAATTCGTTGACTCCTTACCACCATTGGGATTTGCTCCGTTCAACCCAGGTGACCCCACCCCCGGCCACCCGAAAAGTAAGCATGCATGATGTTTCTTTGTTCTAAGCTTGCGGCATAGATCAAATTGTGGGTTGTGATTGAGGAAAAGCATGGAAAAGCTATATATGTCTTCGCTGGATCTGACCGTGATTCGTGAACCTGCCTTCTCCACCCCAACCCCTCCCACCAAAGCTAGCTCTCGCCCTCGCTTCACTGCAGCTGGGCTTCCACACATCAGCAAGACTGGCACGAAACAGAGAATTGCAAAGGCGGCCGCCTTGGGTCGGACCCCGCGTTCGGCGCGGCACGTGCACGTGCGGGGTCTGGAGGTACCGAAGGCGGTCGGTCGAGGCCTGTGCCGCCACGGCGCGGCACGGCTTCAAGAGCTTCTTAGTTAGTAGTAATGCTCCTAAGTAGCGATGCCCTTGTTACAGTAGCTTCTTGTTACAATCTACCAAAAAGAAACTGGATTGGTGGCCGTATGAAAAACTTGAAATTTCTTGGAGTTGTGCCACACCCTTTCAATCAACACATCCTAATTGTTCTTTCACAGGGGACATCTTGAGAGCCACTCCTTCACTGCCTGAACCCTCCGCACTGCTCCAGCTTTTGTCGATCATCCACACATGAGCCTGGTGCACGGACCAGTCGGTTCGAGCTGCTTTGGCTCGATGAAAAGTTTCTTTGGTGGAAGTCTGCAGCTTCTTCATGCTTGATCGAATAAATACGAGCTAAGAGCATTCAGGGGATGGAAAGTTGACTTTCTTGTAGGAAACCCTACCCTGCATCAACCACCCCTTTAGAGCCTCAGCCTTTTTGGCAACTTCTTCAACCAAACTGTTCTGAAGCCACTGCACATCATCACAGCGATATCCAGGCAAGTGCCAACGGGCACCAAGCTTCCTCATGGCGTCATTTCGGACAAAGGCATCGAAACAAACAATGAATGGGTTGGTGTAGAAGGTTGTGACTTGTGATTATCAGCTGTATGGGGTGAACATCTTCGCCGAAGTTGCAAGTTCCGTCAAGTTCCTCTTTACAACTCCAGTCTTTTGAACGATTCCACTTGACATGGAAGTCTAAGACCAACAATACCCTAAAACGGTCTTCCGTTACAGTCTTGTGGGCTCATGGACGCAAACAGTCATTTCACACAAACGGAAGGCAGGTACCGGAAGTGACAGGTAGGTCAATTCCGGTGAATTCCAATCTGAATCTGCTCAGCGTGGATGAAATGCCAGCAAATCAGGGAGACTTAGACTTACCCTCTCTCAAAACAAACGCACCTTGTTGATCTTGTAGAGAGAGAAATTGCATTCTTCCAGGTGCCTACGTTCCACTTCCTTCCATGCTTCTTTTTCAGGGCAACTTAGAGATGTCACATGTCTAAGACGCCCGTTTCTCCGAAAGCCCATGGCGTAAATGAGCTGGGCCATGTCACAGCTCTAACATGACTCATCACTCGTGCACGGTGATGAGTCATTGGCGTGTGAGCTGTGAGCACCATCCAGTCACCGAACACGTCCAGCTTTGCTGGACTCAGGTGTAGAAGGTCTCAAGCAATGGAAGCAAGTGTGTGTGGCCACAGGCCTCTGCCAACCTCGGTGCCATGACCCAGCTCAACAGCGAGCTTCTCGGAGGTTCGAGCTGCTGTTTTTTTTGCCGCTCTGACTCGACTCGGCCCATGCGTTCGTTCATTCGGGTTGGAGGATTGACCGGCCCGTTGTGGTGGTTTGTCAGGTGGCTACATCTATTTCAAGGGTCATCATGAAAAATAAATCCATTCCCACGGAGTGGAATAGAGAGATGCATCGCACGAAAAAAGTATTGGGTTGTTGATGGGTTGTTGGTATCCCTTGGATTGGTGAATGCAGGATGATGCAGGAACCATGACAGGCTGCGCGCAAAACAACCCAAACGCCGAAGCCCAGCCCAAGCATCTCCAAACACCGAGTGGGTGCCAACACAAACAACAAAAGAATCGCATTCGGAGCTCGACAACATCCACTATAAGGCTGGCGCATCTAAGATGCACCAGCGTTACCCATCGTTACCCGCGTTGCAGAATTGCTTGGAGAGATCTTCCTACCTTCATCTATGCAACATCCTCATCGCCCTATGATTGTCTCACGCTGGGTGATCCCCGAAAAAGGGATGAAACAAGCCTGCATACAGTAACCATGTATCAACCATATGAGGGTAAGCAACGATCGGCACGCAGTCTTGGACACGGACGGCAAGGGCATCTCAACACGCAGTCTATGAGGCTTTGTGAAGCACCACTTGGCCCCAACGGTCAGAAATTCTGGAGACCAGTGAGCTCGAAAAAACGACAGGGTATGAGACCTATGTCGGTCATCTCTCTTAGAACCCCCCACTTATATTAACAGTCTACATAACATGTCTACAATATCCCATGCGCGAGCGCATGGGACTGGAATAGATGCCGACATTGACCCCCCCTAAAGGAACGCACCACCCCGAGCAGCTCTATACCTGGAGCCTCTAGAGGTAGGACGCGACCTGGGCCTCTCGGCGACGTTTCCTCCCTCCGTCGCCCGTCGACGTTGCCTCCACCGTTCCTTCAAACTGGGCCGAGGCGGCTCATGAGGCAACGTCCCGTGGTCGTTCGTCGCCAGCGGCGCTCGGTACTGGCGCGTGGAGACGCACGAACGCGCGGCGTTCGGAAAGGCAGGGCCGGGCGTGGATTGGGTAGACTGACTTCGTTGGATTTTCCCAGGCCAAATGGATGGATACCACATGATCCACATGCTGGTAAACCCTGCTAAAGTTGCTAAAGCATGATGAACCATGCCAACCCAAAGAGTCTTTCAGATGTGGAAGGCTCTGATCTCTCAAACTCTCGTCTCTGTTGCCATGTTTCTTTAAGGAAACAACGGTTCGCCGCAGATTCATTTCTCAACGGAGCTTTCCCTGTATCTGCTTTCCTTGTTGGCTCAGCGCGGGTAGGTTCTGCTGCGGGAAGTGCCGGTAGGTGGAGCTCCTAGATGTTCCTAGCTAGAATGCGTCAATCCTATGTCTCCTCGTTGTTGTTCCTTTTCAGCAGGATGACAAATCTGTACATTTGGATGCAGGTTCTAGCGGTTCTATGGTTCTAGCGATTGCCATTGATTGTCTTTGCATGTCTTTGCAAGCCTGCAAGTCACCCTACAGGTTTGTTTTCTAAGTGGTCCAACTCGCACAGCCCCTGGTCCTCACTCCGGGTCTGATAGTGATAGTGGCTCATGCTCTTCCATGCTGACCACTGGGCCCCCGCCTCAAGCAGGCTTCGCACCAGCTCGGAGTTGCCCGAGAGCGCGGCAGCGTGCAAGGGTGTCATGCCTCCGTCGACCCGCGATGGCACCGGCGATCCATCTGCTGCAACGCCCCGTCGAGTGAACATGGCCCGCGGCGGGGGCGGGGGGGGTTCATTCGGTCGAAGCACCGGACAGCCCGAGCGGAGCGAACGATCGGTCGGGTGTTGCTTCCTTGCTTCGACCCGCGATGGCCCGCCTTGCATGGAGCCCCAGGTGCGCACGAAGGTGGAACTCCGGTCGAGGCCTCTCTCATCCAATTTCCTGGGTCTTCCAAGTTCGCACGAGACTGAACCGGAGATCAGTGGGACTCCGCTTGATCATCGCACGAGATCGCCCAGATCTTCCGCTTGATCGATCCTTTTCGATCGATCCCTGGAAGAAGAGTTTGGGTTTTATATCTCGGTGGAAGACCGTTGATGGAGCATGAGGTTCGGGAGACTTGGGTCGCTCAAGTTGACATCTCTCATCTGTGAAGCCAGAGGTCCCTGGGAAATGAAGGTGGACCTAGCTCTCCACCTGTTCCTGCTTCAAGGGAAAATCAATCCCCAAAACAAGGTTATCCGCTGACTGGGCCGGTATGGGATGTTCCAGGTGTTTGTGAGGAATTTCCGGAGTCTCAGTCGAGCATAGCAGTGGTTCTGCTTCTGCAGCTTTGCTGGAGTGGGCCAGTGGTCGAATCTAAATGCAGCAAACGGCATTTCCTCACGGTAATAACAAACAGGAATGAGTGTGACACTATATCATGCTGGGATCGCCCTTGACATATTGATGAAACAAATAACTATAATGAAACAAATGACCGATAAATTGACTCTCTCTCTCTCTCTCATTCTCTGACCATGCATGTGCATACTACACATAATAACACATATGTAGATATATATATATATATATTCACCATTAAAAACACATGTGGACATCACACACAATGTACAATGTATACACCAAAACCCCATCACCACTAGCTCACAAAGCTGGGAACCACCTTGGCTCGAAACTCAACCCACGGCCCAATAGCAGGACCTACAGGAACTGTAAACTTTCTTCCTCAGCTGCCATCTTTACGTGTCAAGGGGGTAGATGCTTGGCATTGTTTGACACATCTCGGCGATTCCTTCTGGACCACCGCCAACATCTGTCAGCATCAACAAAAAATGAACACCCTTCCCCATTCTCCACACATGCCCAACAACGAGTTGGCTCCTTTGTTTGGCCTCCCAAGAGTCTTCCGCGCCACCGCGCACACTTGCCGCGTCATGGCGGTCGCAGGCTGACACCTCCGGTCCACCAAGGCCTGCGTCCGGTCGCCATGGCCATCCGTGGATGGTCATCCCATGGCCAGCTCCATGGGACCGGTCGAAGCACCGAGGGAAGCCACGTACCAAGAAAACCGTAGCACTTTCAAGAAACAAGACCATCCTTTTAAGGAAACAAACCGCTGTTGTCCATCTCTTCCCTTGAAAAGGCGATGTTTCGTCCAGGAGCCTACAAATTGTGGGTGATTTGCTTCTCTAGGTACATATACTCATCACTCCACGGGATCAAACATCGAGAGTCTAGAGATGTCTAGAGACTGTCGAGATTTCAGACTTCAGACCGTCCATGTCATATACCCTAGGCCTCCAAGTACTTCTGAGAAGGTATTTGGGGTGGGTTGGGAGGGTCCGAATACCTTCTGAGGGGTTACTTGGAGGTGTAGGGATCAAGACGGACCATACCCAAACAACTCCGCCGCCACATTGACCCCAAGTCAACCCCAATCAACTCATCGGTACATGGCAGTCATGATCTGTGGAGGCTCCCCGGTCCGCACCCTACCCTTTGCCCATATGGTGGCCGGTATTTCCAGTGGCTATGAAGAACGGGCTCTGAAACATAGTGCCAAGCTGACTCGCTGTACAGTTTCTGTTTATACACCCTTTCTTTCTTTCACTAGCGCCGAGAGGTCTGGCCTGTGGCTTGTGCACCTAATTGAGGGGGGTTGACACTGAGAGCAGCAGCACAAAAATCTGGCCCCATCGGGGCTTCAGTATTGAAGTGCGCAACAAGATTGGCAGTCGTTTCACTGAACCAATCCGGCAGCTGCTCTCCAGTGTCATTCATTGGGATGGCTTGATGGAAAAGGGCAGCCAGGACCGAACAGAAGTCACTGGGGTACTGCTTCAGGATACTGGTTTTCCAACTTCCATCCTCGCCACGCCCAATGCGGCTGGTCGTGGGAAGGGGCGTTGTTCGCCCTTCCAAGAACAGTCGCCTGAAATCCTGACAGGGATTGGCCAATAGTAAATCAGTTGGCTTAGGCGATAGACCGCCATATCTACCCTGTTCTACTCGGATTTTAAAAACTGTGGTGAACTTGAGAAAAAACTGGATCACGGGAAGGCGCCAGATCGAAGGCAGGTTGCCCTCAGGCATAGCCGGATGCTCGATAATCGCAACCGACCCGCTCAAGATCGCAATCCAGAAAAGCTTCAAGGCCACAGCTAAAAGCTGGTTTCCTGTGGAAACTTGTTGTGCTTCTCTTTTGTTGAGATTCTGCAAGCCTTGTGGTCGTTCAACTGACCTCACTGGGCGTGGGCCGTCAGCGAGTGCAACGAAACGTGCTCTACTCCATGTCTCGCATGGTGGGCCTGCAAGGAAACCAGCTAACACGCCACTCCGAAGGGCTCGTACAAAGAGTAGCATCGTTTCTGGCCTTAGTAAGTTGCCGTAGTGCGTATCAAAGATGATGTCAACGGAGATCGCCTGGAATCCGGCACGCTCAAGATGTTCCTGGAGGTCTTCTGGTCGACGCTCACCTGAGAAGAGATGCGCAACAACCCTAGGGTTGTAGCGGACAGTACGGCAGATCTGCCCAGTAAGGTCATGAAACGCCCAAGCGACTCTCTGAAAAAATTGATTTGCGTTTTCCGCAACTGCTTCAGTCTGGCAATCACCAGAGAGAAACCATTCTAGCGACGCTTTGCTGGTGTAGTGTGCGAAAACTTTCAGCTCGACAAGCTTGAGATCCTGATGCTGAAGACACCAGTTGGTTGTCCATTCTTGGAAGCATGCAATTATCTCAGCGTGATGGAGAGTGGTCGAAAGGGTCACCAGTCTGAGCTGCTCTAACCAGGTCTCTGGATGAGGTCTGTTAATGGAGACTCTGTCCCATTCTTGTTTCAATTGCTCACAGGCTTGGTTCACTTGGATCATCATGCAGTCAGGATCAGGGCAGGCTGGCCCTTCCGCCTGCATAAAAGGCTCTCGGAGAGCTTTTCTTTGGCGGTTCTCTGTTCTGCTGTTGACCCCTGGCTCAGGCTGAACTTCAAGCCCTCTGTCCTGGTAGAACTGTAGACACCTGAGAGCTCGGCTGACATGGTTAATCAGGTCGCTATGCAACGGGTATGTCTTCAGACAAGCTTCACACGTGTTTCCACTGACATACTGTCGAGCTGGCTTCAAGCGATGATGTTTCTTAAAGGAGTGGACAGAGAGGTCAGATTGCCTCCTGAAGCTTTTCTTGCAGGCTAGACAGTAGTATTGCTTACATGCATTGGTGGCCTTTGGCAAAGCATAGCCTGCTTCAAGTACTTCATGCATGATCTCAGTCTGCCACTCGAGCCATTGCAAATCAATCTCACGGCAGGAAATGTGGCGATGTACAGCCGTCTTGATCAGACGTTTCCATCTTGTCGGGGAAGCTGTCACATAATCGACAACCAAGTCCCATCGCATAAGCAGGCCTTGCAGACCCGCTTCTGGACAAAAGGAATCGAGCCAGGTGACATCTTTACAGAAACGTTGATACCATTCTCCATCAGCCTGCAATAAACCCCACATATGCGGTTGGCCTCCTTTACACAATTGCAGGACATATCGAAGCCGTGCTTGACGCAAAGTGACCTCTGGCGAAGGGAGTCGAAATTTATTTAGCACCTTGTCATCACTCCAAGTCAACGCATCGCCCCCGAAGTGGAGAATGCAGACTCGTTTGTAGAGCTTCATAAAGGATGAGTGCAATTGTTGTTGCTGTCGACAGTTGCGAGGCATCCAAGCAGCTGCATTAAAGGTGATGGTGCTTAAAACCATGGTCTCAAAGAGCTGTCGTTTCTTTTCAAACGCCAGTGCTCTATTTGAGAAGACCGGTCCTTTGTACCTCGTCACCAAGTCATGCGCAATGGCAAACTTTGTTTTTATATCCATGGATATGCCAGATCCAATCTGAATCCACGTGCCCAAGTGCTTGTAACAGCCTACCAATCGGAGTTGGTAATCTTGGAATTGAGATGGAATGCAGATCTGCTGTTCATTATGGCACATCTCACGTCGAAGATTTAAGCTATTCGGTCCTCGAAGATCAAGGAGCAGTTCAGTCTTCCCAACATTAAAGTTGGGTATGAGCCCAGCTTTGAGTAGCCCATCAAAGAGTTCCCCGCTGATTTCCTTGATGAGACAAAGCAATTCATCGGATGTTGGGGCTGTGAAGGCAAAGGCTATGTCATCTGCCCAAATTGGGACTAGCGGACCCAAAGGGTGGTGTTCTTGAGATGTTCTATATGGGCAAGCCCTGCCATCCCAGCTGATTTCGATCCCAGGATATTTCTCCCTCGCAAAATCCAGGATAGGTTTGAGCAGCTGGGTAAGCGTGAAGGAGAAGCAAAGATCAGCGAAACTGTCTCCGGGTCGGCTACCTCTTCGTGACTCAACAACAGTACTGTCGCTTTTTACCTGGAACCAGGTGTGTGCGTAAAATTCTTTGAACAAGTCGCGCAAGAAAGGCGGCGTTCGTGCCGCATCTAAGGCAGGTTCTTGTGCAAGCAAACTTTGGAACTCTTGGAAAGTGTCTGGTGGCAATCCTAACGTGCGGAAGAGCTCAGCTGCCCCTCTTCTATCTGCCTGCGGTGCGACAAGATGCTGCCGCACAAGTCGGTAGAAAGCGTTGGTAACATCAATAAAAAGAAGACCTACAGCCCTGTTTTCTTTCACAGCCCCGCGGTGAAAGGACTGAAGTGCATGCGCAGCTTGCAAAATGCTTTGGCCTCTAAGTCCTCCAATCTGGAAGGGAAGACGTGAGGCCTCGAAGACATCGAGCAAATCGTTCCTATAGATCGAATGCACAGTCTTACCAATCACAGAACTGACGAACAAAGATCTGTAATTTTCTGGCTGGCTGGCGTCTCCTTTCTTATAAACAGGAGTGAGGTACCCTCCCTTAAAGAGGAGTGGCTCATGTAAGTACACGACTTGTTTGCACATCAACGTGTAGTACAGGTCAGTCATCGTCTTGGGTGCAAGTGCAAGAAGCTCTCCAGGGATTCCATCTACAAAATAAGCTTTTCCGCGCGCTGTGTCACGAAATTTCTGTTCCACCTGGTATGCAGTAGGGAGATTTTCCCACGTGGCATGGCATGTTGGCGAACGGGAAATGGCCGCCTCATGGAAGAGCTGCTCAAAGGTAGTGATCTTCCCATCTTCTTGCGCAGCAAAATACTCTCTCCAGCAAGTCTTGTGCTCATCTTCCGTCTCAAGGACATGACCATCACGACCGCGTAAGAGCGGCAAGGGTTGTATTGCAGACATTTTCTTCCGCCCACCAACTCCAACCGCCCTCAGAGCTCTCATGAAGTCTCTGGGCGCTAAGTGGTATGCTTTGCTGGCCAGAGCTTCGAGCGCAATGACTCGATCGGCCTTGAGTCGTTTAGTAAGCTGTTTAGTCGTATCAGCAATTTGCCTCTGTCGCCTGACAATACTATGCAGAAGGCTGAAAGCTTCACCTGTACTGACATGAATCTTTCTCTCATGCCTCCATGCTCGTAAGGCAGTTCGCATCGAAAGGTGCTGGAGTTGATCTTTGAGTGTTCGGATTTTATCCCGAAGTCTCATTCTAGTAGTTCGGATATTCCATGTTTCCTCAGAGATATAACTGGATCGTGGTTTTGACTTTTGGATCGGAAATGCAGTCTGCAACCTCGCACACACCTGATCCGCCAATTGCATGGCATGGACATCTGGGTCCTCTTGCCAACTAGGGACTTTGATGTTGCTCAATACTCTTTCTACTTGCTCAGGTTCTGCCTTTAGCAAGGCGTCTCGATCAAAAGTGTTCGAGTGCCTAACAACCTTCGTTCGAGTTAGAACAATTTTACAGTCTAGTGAGAGTGGAGAATGGTCAGCTCCCGCAAGACTTGTGTCCAGAGTATGTAGGACCTGAGTGTGGACATATGCATGTTGCCACGCAAGTGGCACAGCAAAATAATCACATCTCGCTCCTGCCCCAGTCGCATGACTACGCCAAGTGGTATGGTCACCCGT